TGGAAATTAATTGCCATCTGCAAGTTTCCTGCGGATGGCAGTAGGGATAATTGTCTGTAATTTATCTAGAAAGGTATTCATCTAGAAACTAAAATAGATGATAAGAAAGGGAAGCAAATGGATGGATGAATTAAAATGAATATATTCAAACGGAGAAACTATCAGTAAATCCTCAATTGTTATCATCATTTTACGTCCCTTATGGTCATTTTTTTTTTTTCTAGTGTTTTCCTTCTTTCATGTTTTTTTTATAAAGGCTTTTTGTGACGCAGACCAATGCCGCGTGTTGAGTTTACCCTGAAAAAGCATTTGACGGTAAACGTCTCATAAACCACGTCATTCGCATCGTTGAAGTTCTGACAATGAGTTTTTGTGACAACATATGTTATATGGAACCTGACTGTGTCAGCATTAATGTTAATAAACGAGTGAGTAGTCATGGACGCTACAAATGTGAACTGAATAATGTTACTCACGAAAGACACGAACACGACTTGGAGAAGGAAGACGATTATTTTTATCATGCAGCTGAGGTGGGTGTTGCATCACTAGCAAATACTCATTTCAAGTGAAAGAAAAAAACTAGTTTCCGGTCGTAATCGTTGTAATTGTTGCTTGAATTCTAATATCACTGTCAATATTTCTATCTTTAGCATTATCATTATTGTTGGTTTAAATGCTGCTCGTTTTCCTTTTTATTCATATTTCAATGTATGATATTATTTTCTCTTCAGAGCGCTTGTGTTGATAACCCTTGCGATAACAATTCTACTTGTCAGAGCGGTTTTACTGACAAAGGATATCGCTGTTTGTGTACCACTGGATTCAAAGGTCCAAGGTGTAAGAAAGGTAACTCCTGTCATCTCAAACCGGCCGTAAGCTCGTGTTCACTACAGTTTTATACACAACTTCTAAAGGCACCTGTAAAAGTTAAAAGGTCCGTTTTTTTTTTATAAACTCACACAATAACCATGCAGCTGTTAACTAACCCTTGTCTAGAGAGCTGCTTCAAAATTGCAGGACTATCATGTCGGATCTCACGTAGGTCTCAATTTGTTTTTCACATCTTATTTTCACATCTGCAATGATGACGTTCTAATTAAGGAAGATCATTTTCAGATATCGATGAGTGTGCTTTAGGAACACAAGACTGCAGTGAAAATGCTGTTTGCAACAATACCAAAGGTTCCTATAACTCTTCATGTAAACCTGGATATTCTGGAGATGGACGGACTTGCGAAGGTAAACGTGACCAAAGCCCTAATTTTATTTAACGAACAAGGGAATGGAAACTGAAAACACAAATTTCAATCCTTAAAATGATAAAATTGGTCATGTGTTTAGGGGATTTCCCTATTGAATTGGTTGCCACAAATTTTACAGATGTAAACGAATGTGCTGACGGAACAACCAATTGCAGTGCTGATGCTGTGTGTATCAATACCAAAGGATCATATCGCTGCAAATGCAAAACTGGATCTACTGGGGATGGACGGACTTGCAAAGGTAAAACAGAGCCTGTAGTTTCTGAGTCTAATGTTAATCAATTAGATACTGAGAAATGTAAATATATGTTGTTTCTTATTGATATCATCAAGCAAAGCGGCGGACAATTTTGTATTTTTAAAAGTAATGTACTTTATAAAAATAGTGAATTTGAAAGACGGACAACTTCTGTTGCTCAATAATCCATACCCAAATGGTATGATGTTACTCTTGCATGGCCAAGAGAACTGCAGAAAAAATTGCAAGACTCTTAAGACATCGGATCCAACTGGAGTCTCCAGTTGCTGTCTACACTTTTATTTTTAAAACTGCGTTAGTTTTAAAATAAATAGCAGTGATGATGTTCTAATTAAAGGAGAGTCTTTTTAGATATCGACGAGTGTGCTACAGGAAAAACCAACTGCAGTGCTGATGCTGTGTGCAAGAATACTAAGGGATCGTACAACTGTACATGCAAAAAAGGATACTATGGAGATGGAAATATCTGCCGCTTGGGTAACATTTCTCCGGCTGTATTTTTTAAGCTAGTTTTTGCACTGTTTCTGTCTGTTTAGACTACTGCAACGAGAATTTCGTTTATAATAATTATTTATATCGAGATATAGATATATAGTAAATGGATAAAAACTTCGATAAATGCCTCGTTAGAAATTATTAAGAATTCAAACTAAAAACAAGCTAACTTATTGATGGACGTGAAAATGTTTGCCTGCTTAGATAGCAGTCTCATGGATGCTGCTTAAATTCGCGGCTCCGCTGCTTTTGTTCTTATCTAGCGCATTCGACACCGCTAACAATGCAAGTTACGAAAACACTAGTGACCAAGAACATTGTGTATTTCCTATTCCACATGTCAATTTTCCCTTTGAGACCATTTTAAACCTCCATCCCATCTTTTTTTTTAAAGGGTTTATTGCTGTTTATATGCCTTTCCTTTTTTTCAGCTTTGACGTGTAAGGAAATTTTCGACCGGAATGTGTAAGTCAATTATTCACTAAGAACAAAGCTAGCGCGGAATTTAATGAGAGAATATGAAAATAACAGTAGTTCTAATAATGATAATTCTGAAAATGATACTGCGCTAAGCATAGCAACCTTCATAATAAACTTGCACACTAGCTTCCATCTTGAAAACTTTCGCCTCATCGAAAAAAAACTTTGTGTCATTTACTAAATATATGGAAGCCATGGCCCTCATCAAGTTTCAACTGAATCTCTCTATTTAGGAAGATTCTTTATTTAGTAGATCGAAAAAGAGTGGCGAGGTTACCCTCCACTTAGACTCAAAGCCAATGTCTGTTTTCTCTCACACGGGAGACTTTGGATGCGGAAATGAAGGACGGACGCCGATCATGAAGACTAATCGCAATAAGGTAACAATTTATTTGCGAATGAATTCACTGTTGATACAGGACAGTGGAGATAAACCACAAAGGGGATTAGCAAAATCTGCGGCTGTTTCCCTGAAAAACGTCAACGGTCGTCAAGAGTCGCTGACCTTTCAGGTTTGAGTTGCTTCTACATCCGCTCCTCTATGACAGTATACGTAATGGCGTAATCCTTTAGCTGCGTTGGGGCCACTAAATTCTTCGCAAGCTGGTAATTTTCTGCTGAAAGATTTGTTAAAAGTACGGCCTTCGTTTTAGCCTCCGTGATTCCATTTACGAGAAAATAAAAACCCAACTGTTCGGTGTATAACTCTCAGTCCCTTCCCACCACCTAATTTGTCACTTTCCGATGGCTTGACTCGTGTTGACGTTCGACGCTTCCTTCGGCATTTCCTGTCGTGCCTTCGTCAACTTCAGACGTGATTCGTGTTTACTGCTTGTGCTTGGCCAAAAAAGACCCCATCCACGTCGCCAGCTTTGATGTATTAGTCCAAGGTCCAGAAAACAAGACAATATTAGTGAGACAAGATCTGCCAAAACTTCAACCACATGGTCAAATCCAAATATGGAAAACTGGTCGCGTGACATTGGGTATCATAAGGAAAAATCCAAACGGAAAGATTTAACAATTCTAGTATCAATGGACTTTTCTAGCTTGTAAACAAATATACCTCAAGAAGAAGGAACGAACATAGTATGTGAAGCATACGAAAAGTTCCACAACCATAATGCACCGATCCCAACGCACTATCTCAGGGAAATGTTTGGCTTAATACTTAGAGAAAATTCGGTTTAATTCAATGAGAAGAACTTCCTCGAAACACATGGCATTGCTATAGGTACGAAAATGGCAGTGTCATTAGCTAATATTTTCATGGCGTTAATTGAAAGGAAATTAATCCAACAAAGTGAAACTAAGCATAGAGAATGGAAATGTTGTATAGATGACGTTTTGTTTTCTCTCTCTCTCGCTGACCGAGACCTTTTTTAATTTGCGCACTTTGCCTCGTGCCACCGACCAGACGTAAAATATGGTATCAAGAAAGGCGAAACAATAACATGGCCTGGAACTAATTCTTCGAAAGAAACATTTGAGGAGGACCTTTGGAAATTTAAACAACGCCTCAAAGCAAGAGGGTACCCAGAAAACATCATAGAATAGTCTCTCTCAGGGGTCAGCTTTGCCTCTAGACAATCGTTTCTTGCACATACACAAAAGCTAAAAGGTCACCAACATTTATTACGGAGGGGGACAGGGGGGCGGGAGAGGGCAGGACGCGGGAGAACAGGGGGCGGGAAGCGGGAGCAGAAATAAAGAAAGCGATAGTTTGTTGTTTATTACTTGGTATTATTTAATCAAAAACACTCGTCTATTAAAGTTTTGAAATTTTTATTTAATATCCACCAAAGGCCAGAAAATGAACAAGAATGTTAAGTTTTGGCACAGTTTGAAAATTAAACCCGGGTTTTTGATCCTCTTGATTAACCTGAAGATGGGAGCAACACAATGTAAAAAAGTACGGAAGGTGGGAGAACATGGTACGGGAAGAGGGAGACTCTGACCCCCCTGTACCCCCCTCCTCCACTAAATTGTCTTTTGTCACAACGTACCACCTGGCAGTTAAAAACTTAAAACAAATACTGATGGAGCATTGGAATCTAATACGCAATCAGCTCTTGCTGAAAACAGGTTTTCAAAACATCCAATCATCTCTTACAAAAAGGGAGCATCCCTTAAGGACACGCTTGTGAAAGTAAAAACATAATTTGAAGGCGATTATGCGACGCGACTTCAAAAGCCACGTGGGGAGTCCGTGCCGGTCTCTCTATCCCTTATCAGATTTCAAGAAAGTAAGCAAGATTTGATTGATTCATCTTTGCTTAACAAGCGGGAGACTGGTTCAAGTTAAAATCGATGACAAGTCGATTCTAGCACTAACGATTGAGTTTTATCACTAGCGATTGATATTTTAGCACGAACAATTGAGTTTATCACTAGAGATTGATATTTTAGCACGAACAATTGAGTTTGTTACTAGTGATAGATATTTTGGCACGAATGGCTACCCATAGGTTGAGTCAATTGTTTTTAATTTCTCTTTTTTTTTTAGGTCGCAACGAAGCCAAGTATACCCGCTGATGTTTGGTTCACAAACGATTCCTGTTTTCTGTCACATGGGAAACTTTGGATGTGGGGATGGAGGATGGACGCTGGCCATGAAGATTTCCGGCACGCAGGTTAACTCCCTGTCTCCTGTGCGAAACTCTTGAAATTTTTGAAATGAACATAGGCAAATCAAAAATGGAATTCTTGTCTTTCAGAGAACTTTCCATTACGATTCCCAATTCTGGAGCAACAGAGATGCCTATAACTTTGCTGGAGGCAAGACTGGCTTTGATTCCCAAGAGACTAAGTTACCAACCTACTGGAACACATCCTTCTCCAAGATCTGCCTCGGTATGAAGATTAATCATCAGCTCAGGTTCATTGTCATCAACAGGCACGCCAACTCACTGTTCTCACTGATCGCTGATGGGAAATACCGTGCCACCTCACTGGGTCGTAACACGTGGAAGTCGCTGGTTGGTCCACAGGCTTCCTTGCAGCTCAACTGCAATAAGGAAGGATTCAATGCAGTGGGAGACAGCCCTAGTCATTCCAAAGCAAGAATCGGCATCATTGCTAACGAGCAGAATGACTGTGGTTCCTGTGACTCCCGAATTGGTTTTGGCACAGGAGGTTTCTCTGATGATTCCAACACGTGTGGAAATGAGGCAACGTACTCGCCAGATAATGGAAACAAGCACATCAAAGCCATGGGTTACATCCTGGTACAGTGACAGGAAACTCAGTCCAACTTCCCTTAAGCCGAGAAGCCATCATGAAGAAGAAAATGTAGTGTCCTAAAACCTTAAAGGCTAATAAAGAAATGAGTTTAACCTTATATTCTCTTCTGGTTAGCTTTGTATCTAGTATAACTTTTTCAATGAAATTCAAAACATTTCATTTGCGCAAAGCCAATTCAGGATTTGTTGACGAAGTAAATATTGGCAAAGAGGCCATATTCGATGTTTACGATACGTCCACGTCGTTAAGTGTGAGCGAGTCAAGGGAGTGTAACACAGAAAAGAAGCACAGAAAATGTGACTTCCTTTATGTTCTTTTTGTTTTTTCTTTCCCGCGCATATTGTTCTTTACGCTCGCCTCGCGCATCTTTCTGCTCGAGTGAAAAACATGAAAAATGACGCCAGTTTTTACAAAGTAACTAGGAACCCACGGGCGTTAACGATTTTTATATTAAATAATTAGCTCAGAGTATGAGAACTAACAGAATGCAAAAGTAATACCCTCGCGAAGTATTACTTGCCTTTCTCGCTTTCACCAGAATGACCGAATTTTTGTGTACCATTTGTTGCGGACGTCATTCTCTAAGTTAAATACGATACTACTATTGAAAAGATGATTGTAAGCTCACCATTCGAACAGATTTCTTTCCGGAATATTTCCGGAAGTCATGACAGATATTCTTCGTTAAATTCGAAAAATTGGCCTAAAAGGATCGGTACGATCTCATCTCGTGATGTCATTGGCTTTTCTACTCGAGCCTCGTAAGTCGGTCCTATTTGGTTTAAGGTTCAGATAGGAAGAGATAAAATCAGGAAGTAACGACCATTTTAAAAACACGATGAAGAAGAGTGCCCCGCCAAACTATCTTTTAATGTTACATTTTTAGCTCGCGATTTTTGGATTTTACGATTCCAGGGAAACAAAGGTTGCACTAGTCCTGACACCACTCTTAAGCCAAACTGTTCTTGGGATGGTGTCTCCTCACACCTTTTCAGTTGCCTCTTTTCGCAGACGCACACGTATGCTGAAACAAAAAAGAAAAGGAAATCCAAAATTGCAATATTTCATCATAGAACTAGCTTGATGAAGTTAGCCATTGGTATCCTTATCCTCGACAGGCCACCAAATTTGGAAATTTCGTGACCTTGGTTCAAAAGGATGGTAATTTTATCCATCACAACCTATTTGATCCCGTACAACCATTTTTTGCCTTTCTTCAGTCCATTGGGAACTGTAGCAATTAAATGAACAAACTCATCTGGAAAATTTTCAATTCATTAATCTATATATTATGAAAGCATGATTGAAAACTCTTACTCTTTGTTTTCTATCCTTTCTGGGGTAAGCTCTAATGCCAGTTCTCAGGCCCTTCCTAACAATCTCCCGGTTACGACTCCGGCAATTCGATCGGATTTCACTGGCGACGGAGAGAGGTAACGATAGTTTTCTTCCGTTTCCTTGTTTTGATTTTCATTTGATCGTATCGCTCTGCACTTTTGATTACGACTGCAATCGATTGTATAATAAAACCTCTAGAAGTGTTGGCTTGATACAGCCTTTGGATCACATAAAAATCATACAAAAGAGATGCAAACTGAATTTACTCTTAAAAACATTGAAATATAGATTTAAACAGGCTTCAACCGATTAATACATTAAACCCTTTACCGTTAAGAGAGAAAAACAAAATTTCTCCTAAAATTATTTCCCCTGAATCAAACATTATAACAAACAACTTAAGAAAATCTTAAATGTTAAATTCTCCTCAACAGCTCCATAGGAAATGTAAACAGAAAAGTTTGGAGAACATGAGTGTTTATGTTTTTGGTGCAAATTGTTAATTAATTCAGAGAACCAGTTTGCTTTTTCTTTTAGTATTTTGGTTAAGAAAATTTATCTTCAGGAAAGATGGATTTGTTTTCCATGTTAGAACGAAAAGTTGAAAATCTCAGAACTTGAGACAACTTTGTTGAAGGGCAAATGCTTGAAGCTTAACCCCTTAACCCCTTAGAGTGATTAGCATCTAATTTCTCCTCACGATATCACCCCTGTATCACACATCAAGGTCATGAGAATAAAGGAAATAATCACCAACTAAAGAAGCTCTTGATTGTTAAAAATATTCTCCTTGTCAGGACTTCAGGAAATATATAGAGAACAGTATGGAGAATATTAATACCGATGTTGGGGTGTAAACGGTTAGTTTCTATTCTGTTTTAAAAGCAAAATTCCTTGTCAACAAAATTAATTCATTATATGCTTCGTAGATGCAGGCAGTCGCGATAAACAAATCGCGGAAATTGTTTAAAGCATGAAAAGGTACTGGAAAGGTTATCGAGCAGCGAGACTCACAAAGATCTGTTGAACGCTTTGAAAAAATAGACGCTGCTGTTATGTTAAACTGATACCCCTGTATCACACATCAAGGTCATGACAGTATAGGAACTAATCACCAACTAAAGAAGCTCTTGATTGTTAAACATATTCTCCTTGTCATCACTTTAGGAAATATGTAGAGAACAGTATGGACAATATTCTCATGCCGCCACAGAAACAAAACGTTACTGCGTAACAATTGAAGTATCATCTTTAGGCAAATTTATAGAGTATATAAACGATGGTACGAATATTCTTAACAATAAAATCCCCTGATTAGTGCACAATCACGAAACAGGCTTGTAGGGATGAAAGTATAGTCTCTCTGTTTTTTTCCACTATCGCAACATATATCGCGCACCACTTCTACGTATCAAGCACTGTAAACGAAAAAATCAATACCTAGACTTCCTATATATATATACATATATATTTTTTTTCCTTCTAAATTTCTAGATAAAGACTCTTTTCACGCAGACAAAAGTTGATAAATTGTTGAAATTCTACGCCTGAAAAAGCATTTGATGGAAGACGTTTTATAAACTACGTGATTCGCATCTTTGAAGTCATGTCAATGGATTTTTGTGACAGCATGTGTTTGTGGAACCTGACTGTGTCAGCATTAATCTTGATAAATGAGTGAAGAAAGACGAATAAGAAGAACCATTATTTTTATCATCCAGCTGACATAGGTGTTGCATCATTAGCAAATACTCATTTGTGGAAAAAGTGGAAAAAAGTTTCTGAAATATTCATTACTATTTGTCGTTAAATGCTCCAGGTACTCTAGTTTTCAACAATTTCTTGCAGGGACGAAGACGATTTTGGGCCTAATAAGGGCAAAATTACTCACTCCTATTTCTACCAATGAAGCCAAGTAAAGCATCAGAAGCATTTATATTTTCTGTTTAGTTTCTTGCTAAGAATATGAATACCGATTTTTAGACTTAAACCGCTGTTACGTCCGAACGATTGATTATTAGATGACCCGTCGAGAAGCTTCGTGAAAGTTAATTTATTTTCATCCAGTGAATTGTTTTCGTGCTGGAACAAGGGCCAAAGATATCAAATTAAAACGAAAAATAGTTAGGAAACACCCAAGTCTCATTGTTAAAAAAAAAAAAAAAGTAAGGAAACACCCAAGTCTCATTGTTAAAAAAAAAAAAAAAAAAAAAAAAAAAAAAAAACAGGAATAGAGAAGGGACATTAGTCCTTCATAGTCACAGTAACCGTTTAACACCTGCATGTTATATGTTTAAAGGAAGTTTTGTTATTCATCTCCACAATAGCAAAAATGTTTAAAGATAGCTTAACACTTTCTTAAACTTCTTAACCAAATAATTTACTGGTGATGAAAAGATACTTTCGCAGATAGTTTGTATGAGTACCTTTATGTGAATTTAATTGGGAATGGTTCTCATTTCTCCTTTTTGTTTTGTTGTGGTTTTTTTCTTAATTAATTCTTTTTTTATCGAGCTCATCATCCAAGTTGATATATTGTAATATTTCCTACCTCTCTATCACTTCTTTATCAATTTATTAATTTTTTTGTATTTTGTATTCGAACATGTAAAAAGTTCACACTCGTAAATTTTATTGTATTCTTAGTCTTTTGTTATGCCGCTCAGTCTTCTTATTTATGTCGGCTGGAGTTGCCTTTGTGTTTATTGCGCTGATAAAGTTGGATTTTTGCCCCAGTTGTGATCTAATCTTTCTCCAGACCAGAAAATAACTCTCAGCGTCAGGGAGTATATCGATAAATTTGCGATTCCTGCTAGATATGTAGCTTTTGAGGAATAATTTATTCGGAGGTAGAAGACGTTTTGCAATAAAGATCTTCTGCAATGACAAGCTCTTTGCAAACGTTTGATCCGGCTCATTCATGGATTTCTTCAACGATTCAGTCCACTTTACAAATTCAAACCGGCGAACTTTATCTTTACTGAGAAAATTTACTTTTTTTTTATTTTTGGGGAATTTTCGAATGGAAAATCTACTTACTTAAATATGTGCATTTTTTGTGGAAATTAATTGCCGTCTGCAAGTTTCCTGCGGATGTCAGTACGGATAATTGTTTGTAATTTATCTAGAAAGGTATTCATCTAGAAACTAAATAGATGATAAAAAAGGGAAGCAAATGGATGGATGAATTGAAATGAATATATTCCAACGGAGAAACTATCAGTAAATCCTCAATTGTGATCATCATTTTGACGTCCCTTATGGCCATCTCTTTTTCTAGTGCTTTCCTTCTTTCATGTTTTTTTTATAAAACTTAAAGGCTTTTGTGACGCAGACCAATGCCGCGTGTTGGAGTTTACCCCTGAAAAAGCATTTGACGGTAAACGTCTCATAAACCACGTCATTCGCATCGTTGAAGTTCTGACAATGAGTTTTTGTGACAACATGTGTTATATGGAACCTGAATGTGTCAGCATTAATGTTCATAAACAAGTGAGTGGTCATGGAGGCTACAAATGTGAACTGAATAATGTTACTCACGAAAGACACGAACACGACCTGGAGAAGAAAGACGATTATTTTTATCATGCAGCTGAGGTAGGCGTTGCATCATTAGCAAATACTAATTTCAAGTGAAAGAGAAAACTAGTTTCCGGTCGTAATCGTTGTAATTGTTGCTTGAATTCTAATATCACTGTCAATATTTCTATCTTTAGCATTATCATTATTGTTAGTTTAAATGCTGCTCGTTTCCCATTTTATTAATATTTCAATGTATGATATTATTTCCGCTTCAGAGCGCTTGTGTTGATAACCCTTGCGATAACAATTCTACTTGCCAAAGCGGTTTTACTGACAAAGGATATCGCTGTTTGTGTACCACTGGATTCAAAGGTCCAAGGTGTAAGAAAGGTAACCCCTGTCATGCCAAACCGGTCGTAAGCTCGTGTTCACTACAGTTTTATACACAACTTCTAAAGGTACCTGTACCTACGACGTTCTAATTAAAGAAGAGTATTTTGAGATATCGATGAGTGTGCTACAGGAACACAAGACTGCAGTAAAAATGCTGTTTGCAATAATACCAAAGGTTCCTATAACTGTTCAAATAAACCTGGATATTCTAGAGATGGTTGCAGAGGTAAGCGTGACCAAAGCCCTGATTTTATTTTAACGAACAAGGGAATGGAAACTAAACACACACATCTCAACCCTTAAAATGATTAAATTGGTCATGTGTTTAGGGATTTTCCCTATTGAATCGGTTGCCTTGAATTTTACAGATATAAACGAGTGCGCTGACGGAACATCCAAGTGCAGTGCTGATGCTATGTGCAACAATACCGAGGGATCGTATCGCTGCAAATGCAAACCAGGATTTAACGGGGATGGACGGACTTGCAATGGTAAAACAGAGCCTTGTTTCAGAGTCTAATGATAATTAACTGGATACTGATAAATGTAAATGTACGTTGTTTCTTATTGGTATCATCAAACAAAGCGGCGGACAACTGTGTATTTTTAAAAGTAATAAACTTTATAAAAATGGTGGGTTTGAAAGAGGGACAACTTCTGAATGTACTTGTAAAAGTTTAGATCCGGTATATTATAATTGCGCTCAATAATCCATACCCAAATGGGTTGATGCTACTCCTGCATGACCAAGAGAACTGCAGGAAAACGGCAAAACTGTCGAGACATCGGATCCAACGTGGGTCTTCATTTGTTTTTACTCTTTAGTTTTAAATTTGCATCAGTTTTAAAATGAATAGCAGTGATGACGTTCTAATTAAAGGAGAGTCTTTTCAGATATCGACGAGTGTTCTACAGGAACAACGAGCTGCAGTGCTGATGCTGTGTGCAGCAATACTATGGGATCGTACAACTGTACATGCAAAGAAGGATACTATGGAGATGGAAATATGTACCGTTTGGGTAACATTTCTCCTGCTGTATTTCTTAAACTAGTTTTTGTACTGTTTCTGTCTGTTTAGACTACTGTAATGAAAAGTTCGGTTATAATAATTATGTATATCGAGATGTAGGTACATATAGCAAATCGATAAAAACTTCGACAAATGCCTTGTTAGAAACTACCGAGAATTCAAACTAAAAATAAGCTAACTTCTTTATGGATGTGAAAACGCTTGCCTGCGTAGATAGCAGTCTTATGGTGTGCATTTGAAGCATCGAGCAGCTTGAGTGAAAACGGCGAGGCCGCGGTGGTTTGAAATGCTGCTTAAATTAGCGGCTCCGCTGCTTTTATTTTCATCTAGCGCATTAGACACCGCTAACAATGCAAGCCACGAAAACACGAGTGACGAGGTCGCAATTACTTCGATCCGTTTCACGTATTTAGTGTCTGGACTAATTACAAAGCTCACCAAAAACCCATGGAGAATATCACAAATGAAAGGAGTTGATAACTTTCGTAATAATGTATGATTCATATCTGTTATTTCTCCCTAATTGGCGACCAATTACACTTTGAACTTGGACTTGAACATTAGATATGTACCAGTCTAGATGTAACTTTTCACATTAGAGCATTTTAAAACACTTTAAAGGATTATTGCTGCTTAGATGTCTTTTCTTTTTTTCAGCTTTAACGTGTAAGGAAATTTTCGACCGGAATGTGTAAGTCAATTATTCACTGACAAAAACAGAGCAGAATTTAATAGGAGAATACGAAAATAACAGTACCACGAATAATAATAATCCTGAAACTAATATTGCGCTAAGCATAGCAACCTTGATCATAAACTTCCACATTGGCTTCTCCCTTGAAAGGATCGTCTCATCGAAAAGTACTTTGTGTCAGAATGTATGAAAGCGTGGGCCCTTATCAAGTTTTTAACTGATTCTCTCCTTTAAAGAAGATTATTTTTTTTTATAGAAATATGTTTTTCGTCGGGTCATGAGCGTGTGAAAAAAATTCTGAGTCCTCACGAGGAATCGAACCTCAGACCCTCAGATTCTGTACTTCGATGCTCTACCACCAAGCCACAGAGTCTCTACGATGAGCGAGGTCTATTACGAAGTTCATATTACACGCGTCCTGCATACTGCTAGGATTAGCAATGTAGATAGCGTCATGTTTTGTGAACAGAATAAGAATTATGAGCTCAAAACTTACCACCTCTCTTATTCTATTTTTTATTGAGTAGATCGATCAAGAGCGGTGAGGTTACCCTGGACTTAGACTCAAAGCCAATTTCTATTTTCTGTTACGTGGGAGACTGCGGAGATGGAGGATGGACGCTGATCATGAAGATTAATGGCAATAAGGTAACAATTTATCCGCGAAGAAATCCATTGTGGAGAAAGGACAGTGGAGAGAAGGGACAAAGGGGATGGCCAAAATCTGCGGCTTCTTCTCTGATGAAACATCAAGGGTCGTCACGAGTCGCTCGTTTGTCTTCACTGAGTAGGAGCCTGGAACATGCTATCACTGAGATCTTATTGAAAACGAAAATACAAATTTTATTCTTTTTATATATTTCAGAGTACATTCCATTACAATTCCCAGTTCTGGAGCAACAGAAGTGCTTACAACCTTCCAGGAGGCAAGACTGGCTTTGACTTACAAGAGACAATGTTACCGACCTACTGGAACACACCCTTCTCCAAGATCTGCCTCGGTATGAAGATTGGTCATCAGCTCAGGTTCATTGTCATCAACAGGCACGCCAACTCACTGTTCTCACTGATCGCTGATGGGAAATACCGCGCCACCTCATTGGGTCGTAACACGTGGAAGTGGCTGATTGGTTCACGGGCCTCCTTGCAGCGCAACTGCAATAAGGAAGGATTCAATGCAGTGGGAGACAGCCTTCGTCATTCCAAAGCAAGAATCGGCATCATGGCTAACGAGCAGAATCACTGTGGTTCCTGTGACTCCCGAATTGGTTTTGGCACAGGAGGTCGATTTGATGATTCTAACACGTGCGGAAATGAGGCAACGCACTCGCTAGATAATGGAGACAAGCACATCAAAGCCATGGGTTACATCCTGGTACAGTGACAGGGGACACAGTTAACTTCCCAAATTTTAAGCCGAGAAGCCATAATGAAGAAGAAAATGTCGTATCCTAAAGCTTAAAGGCTAATAAAGCAATGAGTTTAACCTTATATTCTCCTCTGGTTAGCTTTGTCTCTAGTATAGTTTTTTCAATGAAATTCAAAGCATTTCATTTGTGCAAAGCCAATTCAGGTTTTGTTAACGGAGTAAATATTGGCAAAGAGGCCATATTCAATGTTTATGATACGTCCACGTCGTTAAGTGTGAGCGTAACATAGAAAAGAAGGAGCACGGAAAATGTGACTTCCTTAATGTTTTTTTTTTATTTTTACCGCTCGTGTTGTTCTTTACGCTCACCTCGCGCATCTTTCTGCTCTTGTGAAAAACATGAAAAATTTCGCCAGTTCAAAATAACTAGGAGCCCACGGGCGTTAACGATTTTTATAGAAAATAATTAGCTCAGATATGAGAACTAACAGAATGCAAAAGTAATACCCTCCCGAAGTATTGCTTATCTTTCTCGCTTTCACCAGAATGACAGAATTTTTATGTATTATTTGTTCGAGACGTCAGTTTCTGAGTTAAATGTGATACTAATATTAACAAGATGATTATTAGCTCACCATTCGCACGGATTTCTTTCCTGGATATTTCCAGAGGTCATGACTTCCCTCACCAAAATTTCAGATATCCTCCGTTAAATTCGAAAAATTGGCTTAAAAAGATCAGTACGATCTCATCTCGTGATGTCATTGGCTTTTCTACTCGAGCCGCGTAAATCGGTCCTGATTGGTTTAAAGTTCAGGTAGGAAGAGATAAAATCAGGCTGTCAGGAAGTAACGGACATTTAAAAAAGACGATGAAGAAGAGTTCCCCACAAAACTACCTTTTTCTGTCTTTAATTACACGTTTAGCTCGCGATTTTTGGATTTTATGATTCTAGGGAAACAAAGATTACACTAACACCACTCTTAAGCCAAACTGTTCATGGGATAGTGTCTCCTCACGCCTTTTTTTGGTCTCTTTTCGCAGACGCACACTTGTGCTGAGAAAAAAATGAGCACGAAATCCAAAAATTGCACTATTTCATCATAGAACTAGCATGATGAAAGTTAGCCATTGGTATCCGTATCCTCGACAGGCCACCAAATTTGGCAATTTCGTGATGTTGTTTCAGAAGGATGATAATTTTATCTATCACAACCTATTAGATCCCGTACAACCTTTTTTTGCCTTTCTTCTGTCCATTGGGAACTGTAGCAATTAAATGAACGAACTCATCTGGAAAATTTTCAATTTATCAATCGATATATTAGGGAAGCATGATTGAAAACTGTTGCTCTTTCTTTTCTTTCATTTCTGGGGTAAACTCTAACGCTAGTTCTCAGGCCCTTCCTAACAGTCTCCCGGTTACGACTCCGACAATTCGGTAGGATTTCAATGGAACGTAAGCGACGGAGTCGTGAGAGGCAACGATATTTTTCTTCCGTTTCTTTGTTTTGATTTTCACTTGATCGTATCGCTCTGCTCTTTTGATTACGTCTGCAATCGAATGTATAATAAAACCTCTAGAAGTGTTGGTTTGATACAGCCTTTGGATCACAGAGGGCTCAATCTTAATAAACGCGGGGTGCTGACTACAGATTCGTATTACAATAACAGTAACTGTCAATCAAACACTACCTATAAAAACAAATTTTGTTAGTAAAATGGTTTTGAAATGGTTGAACCGTTTAAGCTCTCTTTTGCAACATTTATTTGATTTAACAGCAATCAAAACCGAAATGATAATGATGATGATGTGGAAGGTTTGGATGCAGTGTTCAAGTTTTTACAATATGATTCATCAGAATTCATTTATGTATAGGCCTTTCCTGATTATGCTACTAAATCTGGCATTTCATGCTCCTAAAAATTCCGCTTTACACCAAAAAAATGCTCAAATTATGCTCGATTCTCGAAATAGTGCTACTTTGGTGTCAGAAAATGCTTTGTTTAATTTCAAGCAAAACGTAGAAACTCAGGCATCATGTGTGTATTAGCAACTGAATAAAGTTAACAGTGTTTAACTGTTTGTTTATAAAACTTCTGATACAGTCAAAACTTGTCCAATGATAAACAGTTAACTAATGTTCGAAGTCCTTAGCGCTTGTTGTACTGTGACATGACGCTGGCTTGGAGGTAGTCAACAAGAGCACAATTCTGTTGCTCGTTGAAGGGCGCCTTCAGTATTGAAAATACTCTTTCTGCCGTAGCAGACGATGGTTGGACAAAAGAACTTGCTTCACTTCGGAAGCCCAACGAGGAAGTTGCTCCTCGAGCCCACACCACCATTCGACTTTCTTCTCTTCTGTCGAGATAACAACATCTTCAGCGGCAGCCAAATAGGCAGGAAGCTCAGCTTTGAGACCGTCGATAGTAGTATCACTATCCAGGAAAGGAAATGCTCTCAGATACTCTACTAATGCATTTGTGGGCTTAAACCACTGGATCCTAACGGGGCAGAATAGTCTGGCAGCCTTGAATACTACCACTACATCATAAAGATCGACATTGAACTTTCTCAGAAACCACGTAATTGCCGGCTCAACACAAGCCTTCGCACTCCGTTCAAGTGCTGTTACGTTCTGACATGGGTCTTCCTCCGCAGTTGCAGTTGCAGTTGCACGGACGTTTGGGAAACGAGGAGTTTGACAAAATTGGGAAACGGTGCTTAGTTTCTCGTAGCAAGAAAAAACCAAAGGACCATCCCCTTCCAAAAAATACGTGGCTTTCACAAAATGTTTGCCAAGCGGCAAGCTCAAGCTTCAAGTCCATTAGTCGCTGTGGGTCAGAAAGTATTGCTCGAAGTTGTGGTAGTAGTTGTGGGCAAACTTTTGTGTCTTTTGCCTCTTCTGAGAACCTTGTGACATCTCCAAACTGCACCATCAACGGATGATACAACTCCCATTTGGACCACCATCTGTTACATCCTTCCATAACAGCTTGGCTTTACAACCATGGCGAAACATTCTAATCCAAAGGCTTCCGAACTCTACCAGTTTAGGAATCACCAAATGGTTTCCTACATTTTCAAGCGTATGGGAGAAGCACACGACATTCAGCATCTTAGGGAATATAAATGCCATTCTGTCTAGTGCTGCTTGGTTAATGCTTGCACCGTCTCTCATGGCTGTGAGCAAGGAATTTGCTCTGACCCCAGAATCAACAGACAGGTACTTATTAAGAACTTGTGCTAGTCTGTTGGCATTAACTGACTTAGAGCAAACATCAATTCTCACAAGCCGTTGGATAATGTTCCAGTTATTGTCCACAAAACGAACTATTATAGCAATTGCTTCCTCTTGTCTGGTGTTGCCGTCAAAAATGACTGAAAGGTCCCTTGTCATGCCAACTTGACCAGGCATTTCCGATTCTTGTTTAATCCGTTCAATTTCCTGTTTCAAAGCCATGGAAACATACTGTCCTAGATGGGAGCTTCCAGCGAGTCGATAGCTGTTCTTCTCCCAACAGAGACCGTAGCATGTCTATTTTACCAATCGGGATACCAGGAAATATGTAGAGAACAGTATGGACAATATTCTCATGCCGCCACAGAAACAAAACGTTACTGCGTAACAATTGAAGTATCATCTTTAGGCAAATTTATAGAGTATATAAACGATGGTACGAATATCCTTAACAATAAAACCCCCTGATAAGTGCGCAATCACAAAACAGGCTTGTAGGGATGAAAGTATAGTCTCTCTGTTTTTTTCCACTATCGCAACATATATCGCGCTCTACTTCTACGTATCAAGCACTGTAAACGGAAAAATCAATACACAGACTTCCTATATATATATATATTTTTTTTTCCTTCTAAATTTCTAAGACTCTTTTGACGCAAACCAATGACGATAAAATGTTGAAATTTTACGCGTGGAAAAGCATTTGACGGAAGACGTTTTATAAACTACATGATTCGCATCTTTGAAGTCATGTCAATGGATGTTTGTGACAGCATGTGTTTGTGGAACCTGACTGTGTCAGCATTAATCTTGATAAATGAGTGAAGAAAGACAAATAAGAAGGACCATTATTTTGATCATCCAGCTGACATAGGTGTTGCATCATTAGCAAATGCTCATTTCAAGTGGAAAAAAGTTTCTGAAATATTCATAACGATTTGTCGTTAAGTGCTCCGGGTACTCTAGTTTTCAACAATTTATTTCAGGGAGGAAGACGATTTTCATCCAGTGAATTGTTTTCGTGCTGGAATAAGGGCCAAAGATATCAAATTAAAACGAAAAACAGTAAGGAAACACCCAAGTCTCATTGTTAAAGAAAAAACAGTGAGGAAACACCCAAGTCTCATTGTTTAAAAAAAAAAAAACAGAAATTTTTTACCATAACAAAAACAATTCAAATAAGTTTTTCCACATCAATTTGCGCATAATTCCAGAAGTCAGTCGCGGAAACCTGGCGATCCGCGCGATGAAGAAGTCGATTTTTATCTTTTTTCTGTTACATTTGTTCTTCATGATACTTGCTTATGTCTCATCACAAGGTTAGCCTCACCATTGCTCATTTATGATCGGGAATAGAGAAAGGACATTAGTCCATCATAATCATAGTAACCGTTTAACACCTACATGTTATATGTTTAAAGGAAGTTTTGTTATTCATCTCCACAATAGCAAAAATGTTTAAAGATAGCTTAACACTTTCTTAAACTTCTTAACCAAATAATTTACTGGTGATGAAAAGATACTTTCGCAGATAGTTTGTTTGAGTACCTTTATGTGAATTTAATTGCGGATGGTTTTCATTTCTCCTTTTTGTTTTGTTGTGGTTTTTTTCTTAATTAATTCTTTCTTTTATCGAGCTCATCATCCAAGTTGATATATTGTAATATTTCCTACCTCTCTATCACTTCTTTATCAATTTATTAATTTTTTTGTATTTTGTATTCGAACATGTAAAAAGTTCACGCTCGTAAATTTTATTGTCTTCTTAGTCTTTTGTTATGCCGCTCAGTCTTCTTATTTGTGTCGGCTGGAGTTGCCTTTGTGTTTATTGCGCTGATAAAGTTGGATTTTTGCCCCAGTTGTGATCTAATCTTTCTCCAGTAAATAACTCTCAACGTCAGGGAGTATATCGATAAATTTGCGATTCCTGCTTGATATGTAGCTTTTGAGGAATAATTTATTCGGAGGTAGAAGACGTTTTGCAATAAAGATCTTCTGCAATGACAAGCTCTTTGCAAACGTTCTTTGTTCATTGATCTGGTTCATTCATGGATTTCTTCAACGATTCAGTCCACTTTACAAATTCAAATCGGCGAACTTTGTCTTTACTGAGAAAATTTACTTTTTTTTATTTTTGGGGAATTTTCGAATGGAAAATCTACTTACTTAAATATGTGCATTTTTTGTGGAAATTAATTGCCATCTGCAAGTTTCCTGCGGATGGCAGTAGGGATAATTGTCTGTAATTTATCTAGAAAGGTATTCATCTAGAAACTAAAATAGATGATAAGAAAGGGAAGCAAATGGATGGATGAATTAAAATGAATATATTCAAACGGAGAAACTATCAGTAAATCCTCAATTGTTATCATCATTTTTACGTCCCTTATGGTCATTTTTTTTTTCTAGTGTTTTCCTTCTTTCATGTTTTTTTATAAAGGCTTTTGTGACGCAGACCAATGCCGCGTGTTGGAGTTTACTCCTGAAAAAGCATTTGACGGTAAACGTCTCATAAACCACGTCATTCGCATCGTTGAAGTTCTGACAATGAGTTTTTGTGACAACATATGTTATATGGAACCTGACTGTGTCAGCATTAATGTTAATAAACGAGTGAGTAGTCATGGACGCTACAAATGTGAACTGAATAATGTTACTCACGAAAGACACGAACACGACTTGGAGAAGGAAGACGATTATTTTTATCATGCAGCTGAGGTGGGTGTTGCATCACTAGCAAATACTCATTTCAAGTGAAAGAAAAAACTAGTTTCCGGTCGTAATCGTTGTAATTGTTGCTTGAATTCTAATATCACTGTCAATATTTCTATCTTTAGCATTGTCATTATTGTTGGTTTAAATGCTGCTCGTTTTCCTTTTTATTCATATTTCAATGTATGATATTATTTTCTCTTCAGAGCGCTTGTGTTGATAACCCTTGCGATAACAATTCTACTTGTCAGAGCGGTTTTACTGACAAAGGATATCGCTGTTTGTGTACCACTGGATTCAAAGGTCCAAGGTGTAAGAAAGGTAACTCCTGTCATGTCAAACCGGCCGTAAGCTCGTGTTCACTACAGTTTTATACACAACTTCTAAAGGCACCTGTAAAAGTTAAAAGGTCCGTTTTTTTTTTTATAAACTGACACAATAACCATGCAGCTGTTAACTAACCCTTGTCTAGAGAGCTGCTTCAAAATTGCAGGACTATCATGTCGGATCTCACGTAGGTCTCAATTTGTTTTTCACATCTTATTTTCACATCTGCAATGATGACGTTCTAATTAAGGAAGATCATTTTCAGATATCGATGAGTGTGCTGCAGGAACACAAGACTGCAGTGAAAATGCTGTTTGCAACAATACCAAAGGTTCCTATAATTGTTCATGTAAACCTGGATATTCTGGAGATGGACGGACTTGCGAAGGTAAACGTGACCAAAGCCCTAATTTTATTTAACGAACAAGGGAATGGAAACTGAAAACACAAATTTCAATCCTTAAAATGATAAAATTGGTCATGTGTTTAGGGGATTTCCCTATTGAATTGGTTGCCACAAATTTTACAGATGTAAACGAATGTGCTGACGGAACAACCAATTGCAGTGCTGATGCTGTGTGTATCAATACCAAAGGATCATATCGCTGCAAATGCAAAACTGGATCTACTGGGGATGGACGGACTTGCAAAGGTAAAACAGAGCCTATAGTTTCTGAGTCTAATGTTAATCAATTAGATACTGAGAAATGTAAATATATGTTGTTTCTTATTGATATCATCAAGCAAAGCGGCGGACAATTTTGTATTTTTAAAAGTAATGTACTTTATAAAAATAGTGAATTTGAAAGACGGACAACTTCTGTTGCTCAATAATCCATACCCAAATGGTATGATGTTACTCTTGCATGGCCAAGAGAACTGCAGAAAAATTGCAAGACTCTTAAGACATCGGATCCAACTGGAGTCTCCAGTTGCTGTCTACACTTTATTTTTAAAACTGCGTTAGTTTTAAAATAAATAGCAGTGATGATGTTCTAATTAAAGGAGAGTCTTTTTAGATATCGACGAGTGTGCTACAGGAAAAACCAACTGCAGTGCTGATGCTGTGTGCAAGAATACTAAGGGATCGTACAACTGTACATGCAAAAAAGGATACTATGGAGATGGAAATATCTGCCGCTTGGGTAACATTTCTCCGGCTTTATTTTTTAAGCTAGTTTTTGCACTGTTTCTGTCTGTTTAGACTACTGCAACGAGAATTTCGTTTATAATAATTATTTATATCGAGATATAGATATATAGTAAATGGATAAAAACTTCGATAAATGCCTCGTTAGAAATTATTAAGAATTCAAACTAAAAACAAGCTAACTTATTGATGGACGTGAAAATGTTTGCCTGCTTAGATAGCAGTCTCATGGTGTGTATTTAAAGCGTCGAGCGGCTTGAGTAAAAACGGCGAGGCTGCGAGGGGTTTGGGATGCTGCTTAAATTCGCGGCTCCGCTGCTTTTATTCTTATCTAGCGCATTCGACACCGCTAACAATGCAAGTTACGAAAACACTAGTGACCAAGAACATTGTGTATTTCCTATTCCACATGTCAATTTTCCCTTTGAGACCATTTTAAACCTCCATCCCATCTTTTTTTTTAAAGGGTTTATTGCTGTTTATATGCCTTTCCTTTTTTTCAGCTTTGACGTGTAAGGAAATTTTCGACCGGAATGTGTAAGTCAATTATTCACTAAGAACAAAGCTAGCGCGGAATTTAATGAGAGAATATGAAAATAACAGTAGTTCTAATAATGATAATTCTGAAAATGATACTGCGCTAAGCATAGCAACCTTCATAATAAACTTGCACACTAGCTTCCATCTTGAAAACTTTCGCCTCATCGAAAAGAACTTTGTGTCATTTACTAAATATATGGAAGCCATGGCCCTCATCAAGTTTCAACTGAATCTCTCTATTTAGGAAGATTCTTTATTTAGTAGATCGAAAAAGAGTGGCGAGGTTACCCTCCACTTAGACTCAAAGCCAATGTCTGTTTTCTCTCACACGGGAGACTTTGGATGCGGAAATGAAGGACGGACGCCGATCATGAAGACTAATCGCAATAAGGTAACAATTTATTTGCGAATGAATTCACTGTTGATACAGGACAGTGGAGATAAACCACAAAGGGGATTAGCAAAATCTGCGGCTGTTTCCCTGAAAAACGTCAACGGTCGTCAAGAGTCGCTGACCTTTCAGGTTTGAGTTGCTTCTACATCCGCTCCTCTATGACAGTATACATAATGGCGTCATCCTTTAGCTGCGTTGGGGCCACTAAATTCTTCGCAAGCTGGTAATTTTCTGCTGAAAGATTTGTTAAAAGTACGGCCTTCGTTTTAGCCTCCGTGATTCCATTTACGAGAAAATAAAAACCCAACTGTTCGGTGTATAACTCTCAGTCCCTTCCCACCACCTAATTTGTCACTTTCCGATGGCTTGACTCGTGTTGACGTTCGACGCTTCCTTCGGCATTTCCTGTCGTGCCTTCGTCAACTTCAGACGTGATTCGTGTTTACTGCTTGTGCTTGGCCAAAAAAAGACCCCATCCACGTCGCCAGCTTTGATGTATTAGTCCAAGGTCCAGAAAACAAGACAATATTAGTGAGACAAGATCTGCCAAAAACTTCAACCACATGGTCAAATCCAAATATGGAAAACTGGTCGCGTGACATTGGGTATCATAAGGAAAAATCCAAACGGAAAGATTTAACAATTCTAGTATCAATGGACTTTTCTAGCTTGTAAACAAATATACCTCAAGAAGAAGGAACGAACATAGTATGTGAAGCATACGAAAAGTTCCACAACCATAATGCACCGATCCCAACGCACTATCTCAGGGAAATGTTTGGCTTAATACTTAGAGAAAATTCGGTTTAATTCAATGAGAAGAACTTCCTCGAAACACATGGCATTGCTATAGGTACGAAAATGGCAGTGTCATTAGCTAATATTTTCATGGCGTTAATTGAAAGGAAATTAATCCAACAAAGTGAAACTAAGCATAGAGAATGGAAATGTTGTATAGATGACGTTTTGTTTTCTCTCTCTCTCGCTGACCGAGACCTTTTTTAATTTGCGCACTTTGCCTCGTGCCACCGACCAGACGTAAAATATGGTATCAAGAAAGGCGAAACAATAACATGGCCTGGAACTAATTCTTCGAAAGAAACATTTGAGGAGGACCTTTGGAAATTTAAACAACGCCTCAAAGCAAGAGGGTACCCAGAAAACATCATAGAATAGTCTCTCTCAGGGGTCAGCTTTGCCTCTAGACAATCGTTTCTTGCACATACACAAAAGCTAAAAGGTCACCAACATTTATTACGGAGGGGGACAGGGGGGCGGGAGAGGGCAGGACGCGGGAGAACAGGGGGCGGGAAGCGGGAGCAGAAATAAAGAAAGCGATAGTTTGTTGTTTATTACTTGGTATTATTTAATCAAAAACACTCGTCTATTAAAGTTTTGAAATTTCCATTTAATATCCACCAAAGGCCAGAAAATGAACAAGAATGTTAAGTTTTGGCACAGTTTGAAAATTAAACCCGGGTTTTTGATCCTCTTGATTAACCTGAAGATGGGAGCAACACAATGAAGGGTGAGAGTCGGGAGATAAAGGGGCATAAAAGTACGGAAGGTGGGAGAACATGGTACGGGAAGAGGGAGACTCTGACCCCCCTGTACCCCCCTCCTCCACTAAATTGTCTTTTGTCACAACGTACCACCTGGCAGTTAAAAACTTAAAACAAATACTGATGGAGCATTGGAGTCTAATACGCAATCAGCTCTTGCTGAAAACAGGTTTTCAAAACATCCAATCATCTCTTACAAAAAGGGAGCATCCCTTAAGGACACGCTTGTGAAAGTAAAAACATAATTTGGAGGCGATTATGCGACGCGACTACAAAAGCCACATGGGGAGTCCGTGCCGGTCTCTCTATCCCTTATCAGATTTCAAGAAAGTAAGCAAGATTTGATTGATTCATCTTTGCTTAAAAAGCGGGAGACTGGTTCAAGTTAAAATCGATGACAAGTCGATTCTAGCACTAACGATTGCGTTTCATCACTAGCGATTGATATTTTAGCACGAACAATTGAGTTTATCACTAGAGATTGATATTTTAGCCCTAACAATTGAGTTTGTTACTAGTGATGGATATTTTGGCACAAATGGCTACCCATAGGTTGATTCAATTGTTTTTAATTCCTCTTTTTTAAGGTCGCAACGAAGCCAAGTATACCAACTGATGTTTGGTTCACAAACGATTCCTGTTTTCTGTCACATGGAAATCTTTGGATGTGGGGATGGAGGATGGACGCTGGCCATGAAGATTGCCGGCACGCAGGTTAACTCCCTGTCTCCTTTGATATTATTGAAATGAACATAGGCAAATCAAAAATGCAATTCTTGTCTTTCAGAGAACTTTCCATTACGATTCCCAATTCTGGAGCAACAGAAATGCCTATAACTTTGCTGGAGGCAAGACTGGCTTTGATTCCCAAGAGACCAAGTTACCAACCTACTGGAGCACACCCTTCTCCAAGATCTGCCTCGGTATGAAGATTGGTCATCAGCTCGGGTTCATTGTCATCAACAGGCACGCCAACTCACTGTACTCACTGATCGCTGATGGGAAATACCGTGCCACCTCACTGGGTCGTAACACGTGGAAGTCGCTGGTTGGTCCACAGGCTTCCTTGCAGCTCAACTGCAGTAAGGAAGGATTCAATGCAGTGGGAGACAGCCCTATTTTTTCCAAAGCAAGAATCGGCATCACCGCTAACCAGCAGAATGACTGTTCCTCCTGTAACTCACGAATTGGTTTTGGCACAGGAGGTCTATATGATGATTCCAACACGTGTGGAAATGAGGCAACGCACTCACCAGATAATGGAAACAAGCACATCAAAGCCATGGGTTACATCCTAGTACAGTGACAGGAAACCCAGCTCAACTTCCCAAATTTTAAGCCAAGAAACCATCATGAAGAAGAAAATGTAGTGTCCTAAAACCTTAAAGGCTAATAAAGCAACGAGTTTAACCTTATATTCTTCTCTGGTTAGCTTTGTCTCTAATATAATTTTTTCAATGAAATTCAGAGCATTTCATATGCGCAAAGCTAATTCAGGATTTGTTGACGAAGTAAATATTGGCAAAGAAGCCATATTCGATGTTTATGACACGTCCACGTCGTTAAGTGTGAGCGAATCAAGGAAGTGTAACACAGAAAAGAAGAAAATGTGACTTCTTTTATGTTCTTTTTGTTTTTTTCTTTCCCACGCGTATTGTTCTTTACGCTCGCCTCGTGCATCTTTCAGCTCGAGTGAAAAACATGAAAAAGGACGCCAGTTCTACAAAGTAACTAGGAACCCACGGGCGTTAACAATTTTTGTTGTAAATAATTAGCTCAGATATGAGAACTAACAGAATGCAAAAGTAATACCCTCCCGAAGTATTGCTTGCCTTTCTCGCTTTCACCAGAAATGACGGAATTTTTGTGTACCATTTGTTCCAGACGTCATTCTCTAAGTTAAAATACGATACTAATATTAACAAGATGATTATTAGCTCACCATTCGAACGGATTTCTTTCCGGAATGTTTCCCGAGGTCATGACAGATATTCTTCGTTAAATTCGAAAAGTTGACCTAAAAGGATCGGTATGATCTCATCTCGTGATGTCACCGGTTTTTCCACTCGAGCTGCGTAAATCGGTCCTATTTGGTTTAAAGTTCAGATAGGAAGAGATAAAATCAGGAATTAATGATCATTTTAAAACTCGATGAAGAAGAGTGCCCCACCAAACTATCTTTTTATGTCTTTAGTTACACTTTTAGCTCGCGATTTTTAGATTTTACGATTCTATGGAAACAGAGGTTACACCAACACCACTCTTCGGCTAAACTGTTCATGGGATGGTGTCTCCTCACACCTTTTCAGGTGTCTCTTTTCGCAGACGCAGATGTCTGATGATACAAAAAAAAAAAGGGAATCAAAAATTGCAATATTCATCATAGAACTAGCTTGATGAAGTTAGTCATTGGTATCCTTATCCTCGACAGGCCACCAAATTTGGCAATTTCGTGACCTTGTTTCAAAAGGATGGTAACTTTATCTATCAGAACCTATTTGATCCCGTACAACCATTTTTTGCCTTTCTTCAGTCTTTTGGTAGCTACTGCTACCGTACCGAGGCTTAGTATAGCACTTCGTTTTACTGGCAGAACGCTTAGAAAAGGATAGTGATACTAGACCGCTACATTATTCTGATCTTTATCTGGATGAACATTATTATATGCTGTTTGCAGAAAATTCCAAGATCTGTCTGAACTCGGAAAGTTAGTAGCGTGGCAAACTTAGAATGGAGCGAAACTCTCAGATACGCGGAAAGGAGATCATACAGAAAACATTATCACCCCTGAATCAAACATTGTAATAAACAACTCAGGAAAATCTTAATTATTAAATTTACCCGACATCTCCATAGGAAACGTAAACAGAAAAGTTTGGAGAACATGAGTATTTACGTTTGGGTGCAAAGTGTTAATTAATTCAGAGAACCAGTTTACTTTTTCTTTTGCTATTTTGGTTAAGAAATTTTATCTTCAGGAAAGATGGATTTGTTTTCCATGTTAGAATGAAAAGTTGAAAATCTCAGAACTTGAGACAACTTCGTTGAGGGGCAAATGCTTGAAGCTTAACCCTTTAACCCCTTAGAGTGATTAGCATCTAATTTCTCCTCACGATATCACCCCTGTATCACACATCAAGGTCATGAGAATAAAGGAAATGATCACCAACTAAAGAAGCTCTTGATTGTTAAACAAATTCTCCTTGTCAGCACTTCAGGAAATATATAGAGAACAGTATGGAGAATATTAATACTGATGTTGGGGTGTAAAGGGTTAATTTCTATCCTGTTTTAAAAGCAACATTCCTTGTCAACAAAATTAAATTATTATATGCTTCGACGATGCAGACAGTCGCGATAAACAAATCGCGGAAGTTGTTTAAAGCATGAAAAGGTACTGGATAGGTTATCGAGCAGTGAGACTCTCAAAAGATCTGTTAGACGCTCTAAAAAATGACGCTAATGTTATGTTAAACAACCTCGGTGACTGTATGGTGGCCAATTTACATCGCCTACTCAATTTATAAAACCAAATGATCTTGTAACACCCCCCACCGACGCGAAGCACCAGCGTGTCTAAATTTGATTCATAAATCGGTTGAACTTCATTAAGGAATAGGTTATACTTCACTTTTTGGATTGGCCTTGAAAATGCGAAATAAAGGGATGGAAAATTCAGGTTTACAATACTACAGCCCTCCACAAGCTTATCGCAGTCCTTAGCGTTTTACTTGCTCCGAAATAAATGAACAAAGATAAAACAATGAGGATCTCAGTTGATTGAATGGGCATTCATGCATGGAAAATCGTCAGTTCGTTAAATAAACATAGAAAATTGATTTTATAAAATCGAACTATCGCTGCTCTCAAATTGGCCCTTCATTTTTCAACTGATAAACAGCAATATTGCTAATGGATTTTCAAAGTGTATTATAATTTCTTTACAGGACACTGTACGCAAACGATAAAAGTAAAAAAAAAATTATTTAAGTAGCAACTTGTCGATTAGACGTCGTAGAAAGCAAGCAAGAAAATACGAGTTGTGTTAAACAATGATAACAAATAGTAACGATTTAAAATCATTACAATCATTTTTCCACTGGTTCAGCAACACAGAAAATATTTTCCAACATCGATCATTTTTCAAGATGCGCTTACTATTTGCAATTTATTTCATTGTAAATGTTCTCGCGTTGTTAGTTGTTTTGGTCCGCGCCAGACAACAATCCTGTACCACCAATCATTGCGGCGAGATCAGCAAAGACATTAAGACGCTTCATACCGAAGTTAAAAATCTTATTGCGCTGGTAAAGGACGCTTTGCGCTCGAAGCTTAAAGGTACCTTTCCGGATAATATATATAGGTGCTTCTTTCAATGTTGTTATTTTTCAAGTGTTCTCAATGCGCTGAGATTTTCAAATCGCATTGTTATCTTCCTCACAGTCTATCCCTTCTCTTCTTGCAAGGAGCAGTACGACTTAGGAAAGTAAGTACAAAGTAGACTGTTTTAGTCGCAAGATTCCAAACAGAACGCTCGCTTGATGTAATTACAGTCAAAGGACACTGCGCTTGTTTACAAGATGACTCTTTCCGATATATGACTTTTTTTTCCATAAGGTCGAGACGAAGTCAAATATACCGGCTGATGTTTGGTTCACAGAAGATTCCTGTCTTCTGTCACATGGAAAACTTTGGGTGTGGAGGTGGAGGATGGACGCTGGCCATGAAGATAAACGGCGCTAAGGAAAAATCCCTGCCTTCTAAAACCCCTTGATATTGCTGAAATTAAAAAAAAAAAAAAAAAGGAAACAAAAAATTGAAAGCTGAGTTTCTTGTCTTTTAGAGAACCTTCCATTACGATTCCCACTTCTGGAGCAACAGAAATGTCTATCATCTTACTGGAGGTAAGACTGGCTTTGACTCACAGGAGACCAAATTACCAACCTACTAGAATACACCCTTCATCAAGATCTGTCTCCGTATGAAGATTGGTCATCAACTCAGGTTTATTTTGATTAACCGGCGCGCCAACTCGCTGACCGCTGATGGGAAATACAGCGCCACCTCACTGGGTGAGTGGAAGTGGCCGATTGGTTCACAGGCCTCCTTGCACTCGTACTGCAGTAAGTAAGGATTCAATGCGGTGGGAGACAACCCTCGTCTATCCAAAGCAAGACTCGGCATCACCGCTAACCAGGAGAATAACTGTGGTTCCTGCATCTCCCGCATCGGTTTTGGCACAGGAGGTCTACATGATGATTCCAACACGTGCGGAAATGAGGCAACGTACTCGCCAGATAATGGAAATTAAACAAGCACATCAAAGCCATGGGGTACATCCTGGTACAGTGACAGGGGACACAGTTAACTTCCCAAATTTTAAGCCGAGAAGCCACCATGAAGTAGAAAATGTAGTATCCTAAAGTTTATTAGCTAATAAAAAGGGTTCAAAATTGTCTTCTCCTCTGGTGCGATTTGTTTGAAATATAACTTTTTTTAAATTAAGCCTAAGATGTTTCAATTGTGCGAAGCCAATTTGAAGAAGAAATTGGCAATGAAGACATACTCGTTGTTTATAATACGTCGTTGTCGCGGACTTTACGTGAAAGGAGGTCATGATCTGATCATGCACTGAAGGACGTACACGAAAATAGTGCCTTTTTTAAATTTGATATTTTATTTATTTATTCAGTTATTTTCTGCGCGAGGGATTCGCCGTTTGCACACGCCTCGTGCATTTGTCCGCCCGAATGAAATGCGCGAGAAATTACGCCTGCAATGCAGGGTAACCCGGAGCTCAAGAGCATGAAAGACTTATATGGAAAACAATTGGCTCAGAGACGAAAACTAACAGAGCGCAAAAAGTAGTTTCTCTCGAAGTATAGCCTACTTTTTGGTTATCACCAGAACGCCGGCCAAATGTTTCTGTACCATTTGTTCGAGACGTCTGTGTCCACGCGAAATGCGAATGTACATATTGACAAGATGATCAAAAACCAAAACCAGTGCGTTTACTACTGATGAGAAAGAAACGGAAATAGAAAATTGCAAATTTCAACGTGAAACCAGATTGATAAGAGTTCTCCATCGGTGTGCGCATGCTCCACAGGCCACCAAATTTGGCCATTTCGTGATCTTGTTTCAGAAGGATGGTAAGGTGATTTATTATGAAAGTATAATCAGCTATTACATTAGTCTTTCTTTTCCTTTTTTCAGGGGGAACTTCAGTTTATACGCTGATATTTTGTATAATGTTTTTTTATAATGTCAAATTTTGCAACAGTGAGTGTGCCTAGTTGAAGATTTAAATCAGTCTTTACCATTTCCATTACTGCCTCAACTAGAATGCGTCACCAACGTATGATCATTGCCTTTCAGCTTTAGGCTTAAAATAAACGAAGGGGTTATTTTATAGAAAATCCTTATGGAACTATGATCAGTAGGTTCAGAGGGTCTAACTGATCTAAGTTGCTTGAGGATTATTCAAGAAAGGAAAACAGGGGCTTTCATTTCAGCTCAGTTAGGAAAAACTAAACGGCCTTTTCTTTCAATTATCTTAGACACTGTCATAACAAGACCAGCTGAAAAAAAAAGGGGGAAAATCGATGTCGAAAGGTTCAAACTCACGAGACCCGAACAGCCTATGCTACCAACTCTTATTGTACATCGTTTCCAATTCTTCCTTTTAATTTGGTTATCACCTGCTTGTCTAATTAGCCACCAATCATTTTCTTCTCAGCTGAACCTCTCTAAGCGACAGCCTTCCACTTTAACACAAGTAACTTCTACCGATTGGGGGAAAGACTGGGCTTGACTCATGATAGAGTAAATTGCCAACTGACTGAAACAGATCATTATCTAACATCTGTCTCTATATGAAGATCGACAGCTCAGGTTTATTGTATCCTTGGAAGCCTGCTTTCGGTACTGACTGATCAATGATGGGTAAAGCACGAAACACACGTTTGTGAAATGTCTCCACTCATCGACCATGAGATGCCGTTAAATCCTACGCAGTTGTCGATTATGATGTAGAATTTTCTCTCAGTACGTTACGTAAAGCGTTAGGTATGCTATCACTCTGTGGGGATCCCCGAAGTCACTTCAGTTCCTTGAGGACATTCACATTAGGGCAGTGAGATTTACTTTTAATACGAGGGATTCCACTCTAGACACTGATGTCTTGACAGCGACGAAATAGAAATTAATAGCGTTCTCGTACAAGAAGAGAATGGCATGCATAACTTACCTAAAGGTAAAGTTTACTTAAAAGGTACTTCAGGTGGTATTAATTCCCTCTTCACTCTGAAATACTCCTTGTTAAGATATTATAGAGACGATCTTGAACTCTACGTGCATCCCCCTAAAAGTGACCTGCTGCGTTCTCCTTCTCTAATCGCACGTCTATATTATGGAATAACTTAAGTGCATTCTTAAAGAGCAAACCCAACCTTGAATCCTTCAAATGTGCTCTCCAAGCAAATTCCCTTCAAATGCGCTCTCAACGCAAATTCCCTTCAAATGTGCTCTCAAAGCAAATTCTGACATGTTAGATGAAACCTCATTCAATGGAATTTAGGAAACAAACGAAGACCCTATGTAGGGGGCACCCCATCCCCACTAAGTCACTTGGTCACGTGATCTGCGACCACGAGGTCGAGAGAAAAACCGAAGTCGAAGAGAAGATATTAAAAGTTGTTTAATTCGGTTGGACTTCGACAACAGCACTAACATCTACAAGTTATATTTATCGAAACTTCTAATTTTCCCTTACTATATTTACTGTTTTAAATAGCTTATTTTTTTTTGTAAATATTATCACCTGCCATTTTGTTGACGACCTCAATACAAAAAAAGTATGTTATGTTATGTAGTCGCCATGTTTTTTAGCTGTTGTGTATTCATTTAGATGACAAACTTAATCGTGAATTATAGTCTATATGTTTCTTCATTCATCGATCCACTATCTAATAGGCGGATACAATCATGTTACTTGATTAAAGTACTTTTACATCATTCAGTAATACCACAGAAACTGGTACAAGTACCTTTACTATGTTCTCCGATACACGACATTAGTCATCGAGCGGCCGGGTTAGTGCTACAAGTGTATTCGTGATTTCACCAGAAAAAAGTCTATTCCAACTTAAAAATCGTACCAAACCAAAACTTTTACACTAAACCTTACTAGCTTTATAGAAACGGAAATACTAGTAAAAGCTTTCATCCGTATTTTCGCCGAAAGGTTCAAAATCACAAAACCCGAACAGCCTATGCTACCCAATCTTATTGTAGATAGTTTCGAATTGTTCCTTTTAATTTGGTCATCATCTGCCTCTCAAATCAGCCACCAATCACTTTCTTCTCAACTGAACCTCTCTGAGAGACAGCCTTCCACTATGATTAAAAAAATTTGGTGTAATACAAGAGGCTTCTACCCTCCTGGGGGAAAGACTGGGTTTGACTCACGAGAGACCAAATTGCCACTTTACTGGAACAGATTATTCTCTAAGATCTGTCTCGAAATGAAAATCGACCAACAGCTCAGTTTTATGGTATCCACAAGGAAGCCTGCTCTCGGCACTGACTAATCAGTTATGCCGCAACCTGACAATGGGACGTGACACGTGGAAGGCTCGGAGGTCTTCTTATACCACAATGCAGCAAGGAAGGGTTCAGTGCTATTGTTTAATGCAGCCCTTCCAAGGCAAGAAACCGCTTCATCACCAGGCAAGAAACGACTGCAACACCTCTGACTCTAGCAGTGGCTTCCTTACGAGAGGATTAAAGTACGACTACAACACGTTTGACGACGAATAAAGCATGAACAAGCTCGCAAATGATGGAAGCAACCATTTTTTGACGTCATAGGATATATATTGATGCAGTCACAAGGGAGACGATGAACTGTCCAAGATAAGGCCCTGAAGCCGAGTGAAATTGGGATTATATAAATGTAAACTAAGGGACATACAGAAATTACACTCTGAGGCTACTCTGACATACATTTAGTCTTGCATTCTTGGGACTATCTCTAGGCACTTTTTTTAAAAATACGGTTTCGGAACTATTTCTTTATCTTACTCAAATAAAGAGACGTTATTTACAATTACCGTGGCTATCCATGTAACGAATTTTTTTTTACTGACATAGCGACTCGGCATATGGAATCGGTAAAAACCAATAAGTTGGGCCACCTGATATCACTTCCTCGAGATCATTCATCATATCCTACCGGATAATGGTATTGTTAAGCCTTCATTAAGTTATAGTAAGGCGATAAAAAAAAAAACAAAACAAAAAAAATTGATGGTTTAAAGCACAAATTTTACAGCAGCACTTCCAGTTTTAGCTTACTAGTTGAATGCTCTCGATCGTGATAAACTTAATGTTACCGTAATGTTCGCCATGCTAATAATAACTGAAAATGAAAGTTTCTAAAACATTCTCAAAGAGCCCCTGTAAAAGGTACCGTTTGGTCTGGTTTTCAGCAAGTTTCTTTCAAGGCGGAGGAAAATTTTGGGCCCAGTAGAGGCAAAATAGTTTGCTGCATATTTCTACAAATTCAAGCCAAGAAGAGCAGCAGTAGCATTCATGTTTTCCATTTAATTTGTTGCTGAGAGAATAAAAATCGACTTTCAAACTCTAACCGCTGTTATGTCGGAGCGATTGATAATCAATAAAACGATCCTTTTTCTCCCAATGAATTGAAAACCTTTTGGTAAATAACTAAAGATATCAAAGTAAAACAAAGAACGATAAGGTAACATCCAGATCTCATTGGTTAAAAGAAAGTCAGGAAGTTTTTACCATGAGGAGAAAATTAAATAAGACTTGTTAGACAAATTTGATAAAATTTCGTAAAATCGGTCTCCGAAGGTGATTTGCGGCATGAAGAATTCGATTTTTACATATGTTCTGTGACTTTGGTGCTTCTTGATATCTGTTTCTTTGTTATCGCAAGGTGAGCTTAAGGTGTGGTTCTTCTCAATTATAGTTACCGTTAAGCACCTGTATCTGTTATTCGGTTAAAAGAGCTTTTGTAGTTTATCGCCACAATAAAAACTCGCTTAACGAAAGCTTAACACTTTTTTTCAACGCTTTTAAAATTCTCAAGCAGTATACTATAGGTGAATAGATGATGAATGGGCGGATGGGGTTTGTTTATTCATTTCGCAGCAAATCGTGAAAGATTTCCTTTTCTTTCCTTCTCTCTCTCCCCTTTTTTTTTTTTTTTTTTTTCTTCTTCAGACTGGTTCTTTGTTATCGAGCTCGTCATCCAAGTTTATCAGTCGAAATATTTTCCATCTATTTAGCCCCCTCTTTCATCTTATGTTAATTTTTTTTTTTTTTCGGATTCTCATGTTTGAAAAGTTTACACTTGTCGATATTGTCGTTTTAATTCAGGAGTTTTTTATTTATTTTTAAATTTTGAAGACTCTCTTCTTGTTTGTTTCTGTCGCAGTAGTTATTGTACTGCTAATTAAGATTTTTGTTAAGTTTTGGTCAACTTTTTGTTAAACAAATTACTACCACGGACAGGGAATATCGACAAATTTACCTTTCATGGTAGATATGTGGCTTTGAGTAGTAATTTAACCCGCTAAAAAACAGGATGTCATATAGTAAAGTTCTCCTGCAGTATAGACTCTTTGCAAAAGTTATTTGTTCATTGATTTCTTTAACGATTCAATCCACTTAAGTAATTGAAACTAAAAAATTGCGTTTTAACTGAGAAAATATACTTCTCCTTATTTTAGGGGAATTTTGGAATATCAATTTCTTACTTAAATATTTACATTTCCTGTGGAAATTAATAGCTATCTGGGAGTTTCCAGCAGATGGCAACACGGATAATTCCGACTGAGAAATTGAAACAGCGGACAAGTGCCTAAAGGGGCTTTAAATAGTCTGAATAAGAACAGAAAAATTTAGAATAGTTTAACATTCAGACGGATAAACTGTCGATAATTACCACCATCATCACGTCTATTATGGTCATCTCTATTACCATTGTTTTCCTTCTCATATAAATATATATTTTTTTCTTCTAAAATTCCTTAATTTTTGCAAGACTCTTTGACGCAGACCAATGTCGATGTAATGTTGAAATTTACGCCTGAAAAAGCATTTGATGGAAGACGTCTCTTCAGCATGTGTTTTGTGAAACCTGACTGTGTCAGCATTAATCTTGATAAATGAGTGAAGAAAGACGAAGAAGAAAGACCATTATTTTTATCATCCAGCTGAGATAGGTGTTGCATCATTAGCAAATACTCATTTCAAGTGAAAAAAGTTTCTGAAATATTCATAACGATTTGTCGTTAAATGCGCTAGGTACTTTAGTTTTCAGAAGTTTATTTCAGTGAATTGTTTTCGTGCTGGAACAAGGGCTAAAGATATCAAATTAAAACGAAGAACACCAAGTCTCATTGGTAAAAAAAAAAAAAAAAAAAGCTTTTACCATAACAAAAAGAATCTAAATAAGTTTTTCGCATCAATTTGTCGGTCGCAGAAACCTGGCGATCCGCGCGATGAAGAAGTCGATTTTTATCTTTGTTCTGTTACTTTTGTGCTTCATAACACTTGCTTACGTCTCATCACAAGGTTAGCCTCACCATTACTCCTGTATGAGCGGGAATAGAGGAGGGACATTAGTCCTTCATAAACATAGTTATCGTTTAACACCTGCATGGTCTATGTGTAAAGGAAGTTTTGGGATTCATCTCCACAATAGGAAACTGTTTAAAGATAGCTTAACACTTTCTTAAACTTCTTAACCAAGTAAATTATTGGTGATGGAAAGATTCTTGGGCAGATAGTTTGTTTAAGTACCTTTACGTGACTTTAATTACGAATGGTTCTCATTTCTCGTTTCTGTTTTGTTGTGGTTTTTTTCTTAATTAATTCTTTTTTATCGAGCTCGTCATCCCAGTTGATATATTGTAATATTTTCTACCTCTCTATCACTTCTTTATCAATTTATTAATTTTTTTGTATTTTGTATTCGAACATGTGAAAAGTTTACACTCGTAAATTATATTGTCTGCCTAGTCTTTTTTTGTTATGCCGCTCAGTTTTCTTATTTGTGTCGGCTGGAATGGTTTTTGTGTTTATTGCGCTCGTAAAGTTAGATTTTTGCCTCAGTCGTGACTAAATTTTTCTCCAGTATATAACTCTCAACGTCAGGGAATATCGAGAAATTTGCGATTCCTGCTAGATATGTAGCTTTTGAGGAATAATATATTCGGAAGACGAAGACAATAAAGATTTTGTAATAAAGATCTTCTGTAATGACAAGCTCTTTGCAAACATTCTTTGTTCATTGATCTGGTTCATTCATGGATTTCTTCGACGATTCAGTCCACTTTACAAATTAAAACCGGCGAACTTCGTCTTCACTTAGAAAATAAACTTCTTTTTATTTTTGGGGAATTTTCGAATGGAAAATCTTCTTATTTAAATATGTGCATTTTTTGTGGAAATTAACTGCCATCTGCAAGTTTCCTGCAGATGGCAGTACGGATAATTGTCTGTAATTTATCTAGAAAGGTATTCATCTAGAAACTAAAATGGAAGATAAAAAGGGAAGCAAATGGATGGATGAATTGAAATGAATGTATTCCAACGGAGAAACTATCAGTAAATGCTTAATTATCATCATTTTTACGTCTCCTATGGCCATCTCTTTTACCAGTGTTTTCCTTCTTTCCTATTTTTTTTATAAATTTTGAAGGCTTTTGTGACGCAGACCAATGCCGACAGTTGGAGTTTACCCCTGAAAAAGCATTTGACGGCAAACGTCTTATAAACCACGTCATTCGCATCGTTGAAGTTCTGACAATGAGTTTTTGTGACAACATATGTTATATGGAACCTGACTGTGTCAGCATTAATGTTAATAAACGAGTGAGCGGTCATGGACGCTACAAATGTGAATTGAATAATGTTACTCACGAAAGACACGAACACGACTTGGAGAAGAAAGACGATTATTTTTATCATGCAGCTGATGTAAGTGTTGCATCATTAGCAAATACTAATTTCAAGTGAAAGAAAAAACTAGTTTTCCGGTCAAAATCGTTGCAATTGTTGCTTGAATTCTAATATCACTGTCAATATTTCTATCTTTAGCATTATCATTATTGTTGGTTTAAATGCTGCTCGTTTTCCTTTTTATTCATATTTCAATGTATGATATTATTTTCTCTTCAGAGCGCTTGTGTTGATAACCCTTGCGATAACAATTCTACTTGTCAGAGCGGTTTTACTGACAAAGGATATCGCTGTTTGTGTACCACTGGATTCAAAGGTCCAAGGTGTAAGAAAGGTAACTCCTGTCATGTCAAACCGGCCGTAAGCTCGTGTTCACTACAGTTTTATACACAACTTCTAAAGGCACCTGTAAAAGTTAAAAGGTCCGTTTTTTTTTTTATAAACTCACACAATAACCATGCAGCTGTTAACTAACCCTTGCCTAGAGAGCTGCTTCAAAATTGCAGGACTATCATGTCGGATCTCACGTAGGTCTCAATTTGTTTTTCACATCTTATTTTCACATCTGCAATGATGACGTTCTAATTAAGAAAGATCATTTTCAGATATCGATGAGTGTGCTGCAGGAACACAAGACTGCAGTGAAAATGCTGTTTGCAACAATACCAAAGGTTCCTATAACTGTTCATGTAAACCTGGATATTCTGGAGATGGACGGACTTGCCAAGGTAAACGTGACCAAAGCCCTAATTTTATTTAACGAACAAGGGAATGGAAACTGAAAACACAAATTTCAACCCTTAAAATGATAAAATCGGTCATGTGTTTAGGGGATTTCCCTATTGAATTGGTTGCCACAAATTTTACAGATGTAAACGAGTGTGCTGACGGAACATCCAACTGCAGTGCTGATGCTATGTGTATCAATACCAAAGGATCATATCGCTGCAAATGCAAACCTGGATCTACTGGGGATGGAGGGACTTGCAAAGGTAAAACAGAGCCTATAATTTCTGAGTTTAATGTTAATCAATTAGATACTGAGAAATGTAAATATATGTTGTTTCTTATTGGTATCATCAAGCAGGCGGACAATTTTGTATTTTTAAAAGTAATGTACTTTATAAAAATAGTGAATTTGAAAGACGGACAACTTCTGTTGCTCAATAATCCATACCCAAATGGGATGAGTTACTCTTGCATGGGATCGTACAACTGTGCATGCGAAAAAGGATACTATGGAGATGGAAATATCTGCCGTTTGGGTAACATTTTTCCTGCTGTATTTTTAAGCTAGTTTTTGCACTGTTTCTGTCTGTTTAGACTACTGCAACGAGAATTTCGTTTAAAATAATTATTTGTATCGAGATATAGATATATAGTAAATCGATAAAAACTTCGATAAATGCCTCGTTAGAAATTATTGAGAATTCAAACTAAAAACAAGCTAACTTATTGATGGACGTGAAAATGCTTACCTGCGTAGATAGCAGTCTCATGGTGTGTATTTAAAGCGTCGAGCGGCTTGAGTAAAGAGGGGGGGCTGCGAGGGGTTTGGGATGCTGCTTAAATTCGCAGCTCCGCTGCTTTTATTCTTATCTAGCGCATTAGACACCGCTAACAATGGAAGTTACGAAAACACGAGTGACCAAGAACGTTGTGTATTTCCTATTCCACACGTAAATTTTCCCTTTAAGAGCATTTCAAAACTCCATCCCATCTTTCTTTCTTAAAGGGTTTATTGCTGTTGATATGCCTTTTCTTTTTTTCAGCTTCGACGTGTAAGGAAATTTTCGACCGGAATGTGTAAGTCAAGTATTCACTAAGAACAAAACCGGCGCGGAATTTAATGAGAGAATATGAAAATAACAGTAGTACTAATAATGATCATTCTGAAAATGATACTGCACAAAGCATAGCAACCTTGATGATAAACTTGCACACTAGCTTACATCTTGAAAACTTTCGCCTCGTTGAAAAGTACTTTGTGTCATTTACTAAATGTACGGAAGCCATGGCCCTCATCAAGTTTCAACTGAATCTCTCTATTTGGGAAGATTCTTTATTAAGTAGATCGAAAAAGAGTGGCGAGGTTACCCTGCAGTTAGACTCAAAGCCAATGTCTGTTTTCTCTCACATGGGAGACTTTGGATGCGGAAATGAAGGACGGACGCCGATCATGAAGACTAATCGCAATAAGGTAGCAATTTATCTGCGAAGAAATTCACTGTTGGTACAGGACAGTGGAGATAAACGACAAAGGGGATTAGCAAAATCTGCGGCTGTTTCCCTGAAAAACGTCTACGGTCGTCAAGAGTCGCTGACCTTTCAGGTTTGAGTTGCTTCTGCATCCGCTCCTCTATGACAGTATACGTAATGGCGTCATCCTTTAGCTGCGTTGGGGCCACTAAATTCCTCGCAAGCTGGTAATTTTCTGCTGAAAGATTTGTTCAAAGTATGGCCTCCTTCGTTTTAGCCTCCGTGATTCCATTTACGGAAAATAAAAAACCCAACTGTTCGGTGTATAACTCCCAGTCCGTTCCCACAACCTACTTTGTCACTTTTCCGATGGCTTGACTCGTGTTGACGTTCGACGCTTCGTTCGGCATTTCCTATCGGGCCTTCGTCAACTTCAGACGTGATTCGTGTTTACCGCTTGTGCTTGGCCAAAAAAAGATCCCATCCACGTTGTCAGATTTGATGTATTAGTCCAAGGTCCAGAAAACAAGACAATGTTAGTGAGACAAGATCTACCAAAAACTTCAACCACATGGTCAACTCCAAATATGGAAAACTGGTCGCGTGACATTGGGTATAAGGAACAATCCAAACGGAAAGATTTAACAATTCTAGTATCAATGGACTTTTCTGGCTTGTAAACAAATATACCTCAAGAAGAAGGAACGGACATAGTATGTGAAGCATACGAAAAGTTCCACAACCATAATGCACCGATCCCAACGCACTACCTCAGGGAAATGTTTGGCTTAATACTTAGAGAAAATTCGGTTTAATTCAATGAGGAGAACTTCCTCGAAACACATGGCATTGCTATTGATAGGAAAATAGCAGTGTTATAGGTACGAAAATGGCAGTGTCATTTGCTAATATTTTCATGGCGTTAATTGAAACAAAATTAATCCAATAAAGCGAAACTAAGCATAGAGAATGGAAATGTTTTATAGATGACGTTTTCTTTTCTCTTTCTCTCGCTGACCGAGACCTTTTTTAATTTGCACACTTTGCCTCGTGCCACTGACCAGACGTAAAATATGGTATCAAGAAAGGCGAAGCAATAACATGGCCTGGAACTAATTCTTCGAAAGAAACATTTGAGGAGGACCTTTGGAAATTTAAACAACGCCTCAAAGCAAGAGGGTACCCAGAAAACATCATAGAATAGTCTCTCTCAGGGGTCAGCTTTGCCTCTAGACAATCGTTTCTTGCACATACACAAAAGCTTAAAGGTCACCAACATTTATTGCGGAGGGAGACAGAGCGGCGGGAGAGGGCAAGCGGGAGAACAGGGGGCGGGAAGCGGGAGCAGAAATAAAGAAAGCGATAGTTTGTTGTTTATTACTAGGTATTATTTAGTAAAAAACACTCATATATTAAAGTTTTGAAATTTCCATTTAAAATTCACCAAAGGCCAGAAAATGAACAAGAATGTTAAGTTTTGGCACAGTTTAAAAATTAAACCTGGGTTTTTGATCCTCTTGATTAACCTGAAGACGGGAGCAACACAAAAGGGAACAAGGAGATAAAAAGGGCATTTGGCACAGTTTGAGAAATTGTAGGGAAGCGGAGACTTCCCCCCCTCCTCCACTTAATTGTCTTTTGTCACAACGTACCACCTGGCAGTTAAAAACTTAAAACAAATACTGATGGAGCATCGGAGTCTAATACGTAATCAGCTCTTGCTGAAAACAAGTTTTCAAAACATCCAATCATCTCTTACAAAAAGGGAACATCCTTTAAGGACACACTTGTGAAAGTAAAAACCAAATTTGAAGGCGAAAAGCCACATGGGGAGTCCGTGCCGGTCTCTCTATCCCTCATAAGATTTCAAGGAAGTAAGCAATATTTGATTGATTCATCTTTGCTTAACAAGCGGGAGACTGGTTCAAGTTAAAATCGATGACAAGTCGATTCTAGCACTAACGATTGAGTTTTATCACTAGTGATTGATATTTTAGCTCGAACGATTGAGTTTATCACTAGCGATTGATATTTTAGCGCGAACAATTGAATTTGTTACTAGCGATGGATATTTTGGCACAAATGGCTGCCCATAGGCTGATTCAATTTTTTTAAATTCCTCTTTTTCTTTAAGGTCGCGACAAAGCCAAGTATACCCGCTGATGTTTGGTTCAGAAACGATTCCTGTTTTCTGTCACATGGGAAACTTTGGATGTGGGGATGGAGGATGGACGCTGGCCATGAAGATTGCCGGCACGCAGGTTAACTCCCTGTCTCCTTTGCGAAACTCTTGATATTATTGAAATGAACATAGGTAAATCAAAAATGTAATTCTTGTCTTTCAGAGAACTTTCCATTACTATTCCCAATTCTGGAGCAACAGAAATGGTTATAACTTTGCTGGAGGCAAGACTGGCTTTGATTCCCAAGAGACCAAGTTACCAACCTACTGGAACACATCCTTCTCCAAGATCTGCCTCGGTATGAAGATTGGTCCTCAGCTCAGGTTCATCGTCATCAACAGGCACGCCAACTCACTGTTCTCGCTGATCGCTGATGGGAAACACCGCGCCACCTCACTGGGTCGTAACACGTGGAAGTCGCTGATTGGTTCACGGGCTTCCTTGCAGCCTAACTGCAATAAGGAAGGATTCAATGCGGTTGGAGACAACCTTCGTCTATCCAAAGCAAGAATCGGCATCACGGCTAACGAGCAGAATCACTGTGGTTCCTGTGACTCCCGAATTGGTTTTGGCACAGGAGGTCTACATGATGATTCCAACACTTGTGGAAATGAGGCAACATACTCGCCAGATAATGGTGACAAACACATCAAAGCCATGGGTTACATCCTGGTACAGTGACAGGAAACCCAGTACAACTTCATAAATTTTAAGCCGAGAAGCCATCATGAAGAAGAAGAAAACCTTCGTGTCCTAAAGCAACTTTAACCTAATATTCTTCTCTGTTTAACTTTTCTCTAGTATAATTTTTTTCAATGAAATTCAGAGCATTTTGTCTCTATAAATTTCAATGAAATATATGCAAAATATTGGCAAAGAAGTCATATTCAATGTTTACGATACGTCCACCTCGTTAAGTGTGAGCGAGTCAAGGCAGTGTAACATAGAAAAGAAGAAGCACAAAAAATGTGACTTTATGTTCGTTTTGTTTTTTCTTTCCTGCGCGTATTGTTCTTTACGCTCGCCTCGTGCATCTTTTTGCTCGAGTGAAAACATGAAAAATGACGCCAGTTCTACAAAGTAACTCGGAACCCACGGGCGTTAACGATTTTTGTAGTAAATAATCAGCTCAGATATGAGAACTAACAGAATGCAAAAGTAATACCCTCCTGAAGCATTGTTGCCTTTCTTGCTTTCACCAGAATGACCGAATTTTTGTGTACCATTTGTTCCGGACGTCATTCTCTAAGTTCAATACGATACTAATATTAACAAGATGATTATTAGCTCACCATTCGAACGGATCTCTTTCCGGAATATTTCCGGAGGTCATGACAGATATTCTTCGTTAAATTCGAAAAATTGGCCTAAAAGGATCGGTACGATCTCATCTCGTGATGTCATTAGCTTTTCTACCCGAGCCTCGTAAATCCGTTCCTACTTGGTTTAAAGCTCAGATAGGAAGAGATAAAATCAGGAGGTAACGACCATTTTAAAACACGATGAAGAAGAATGCCCCACCAAACTATCTTTTTATGTCTTAAGTTACACTTTTAGCTCACGATTTTTGGATTTTACGATTCTAGGGAAACAAAGGTTACACTAACACCACTGTTAGACCAAACTGTTAATGGGATGGTGTCTCCTCACACCTTTTCAGTTGTCTCTTTTCGCAGACACAGATTGCAATATTTCATTACAGAACTTGCTTGATGGAGTTAGCCGTTGGTATCCTTATCCTCGACAGGCCACCAAATTTGGCAATTTCGTGACCTTGTTTCAAAAGGATGGTAATTTTATCTATCACAACCTATTAGATCCCGTACAACCATTTTTTGCCTTTCTTCAGTCTTTTGGGAACTGTAGCAATTAAATGAACAAACTCATCTGGAAAATTTTCAATCAATTAATCGATATATCATGAAAGGATGATTGAAAACTATTGCTATTTCTTATATTTCCTTTCTGAGGTAAACTCCAATGCCAGTTCTCAGGCCCTTCCTAACGGTCACCCGGTTACGATCCCAACATTTCTATTGGATTTCACTGGAACCTAGCCGAAGGAGTCGTGAGAGGCAACGATATTTTTCTTCCGTTTCTGTTTTGATTTTCACTTGATCGTATCGCTCTGCATTTTTGGTTACGACTGCAATCGAATGTATAATAAAACCTCTAGAAGTGTTGGCTTGATAAAGCCTTTGGATCACAGAGAGCTCGATCTTAATAAACGTGGGTTGCTGACTACAGATTCGTATTACAATAACAGTAACTGTCAATCAAACACTACCCATAAAAACAAATTTTGTTAGTAAAATGGCTTTGAAATGGTTGAATCGTTTAAGCTCTCTTTTGCAACATTTATTTGATTTAACAGCAATTAAAACTGAAATGATAATGATGATGATGATGTGGAAGGTTTTGATGCAGTGTTCCAGTTTTTGCAATATGATTCATCAGAATTTACACATGTATACCAATTTTATTTTTGCTGGTTGAACTGTATTTAACCGTAAAATTAACATATTTGAAATAATTAATTTACAATTGAGTTATCCCGATAAAAGTGTCGATCAACCTGCAAATTCGTAGCCTGTTACTTAGTGTACGACTACCGCATGAGTCATGCTCACCCAGTTCCAGGCCTTCAGTTGGTAAAACCGAGCGAAATGGGAAACGGCGCTATAGTAGCGGGGGAGGCTCGGGTCGGGTCGGGTCGGGTCGGGTCATTACGCACTCGACCCAAAACCTCCCTCGTATTTTTTCCACTCCTCTGCTACCGCACTGAGGCTTAGTATAGCACTTTGCTTTACTGGCAGAACGCTTGGAACAGGATAGCGATACTAGGCCGCTACATCATTCTAATTTTTATCTGGATGGACATTATTATATGCTGTTTGCAGAAAATTCCAAGATCTGTCTGAACTCGGAAAGTTAGTAGCGGAGCGAACTTAGAATGGAGCGAGACTCTCAGATATTTGGAAAGGAGATCATACAAAAAAGATGCAAACCCAATTTACTCTGTAAAACACTGAAATGTAGATTTGAACAGGCTTCAACCGATTAATACACTAAACCCTTTGCCGTTAAGAGTGACAAACAACATTTCTCCTAACATTGTTACCTCTGAATCAAACATTGTAACAAACAACATAAGAAAATCTTAATTGTCAAATTTTCCCCGACATCTCCATGGGAAATGTAAACAGAAAAGTTTGGAGAACATGAGTATTTATGTTTGGGTGCAAAGTGTTTATCAATTCAGAGAACCAGCTTCCTTTTTCTTTTGGTATTTTGGTTAACAAATTTTATCTTCAGGAAAGATGGATTTGTTTTCCATGTTAGAATGAAAAGTTGAAAATCTCAGAACTTGAGACAACTTTGTTGAAGGGCAAATGCTTGAAGCTTAACCCTTCAACCCCTTTGAGTGATTAGCATCTAATTTCTCCTCACGATATCACCCCTGTATCACACATCAAGGTCATGAGAATAAAGGAAATAATCACCAACTAAAGAAGCTCTTGATTGTTAAACAAATTCTCCTTGTCAGGATTTCAGGAAATATATAGAGAACAGTATGGAGAATATTAATACTGATGTTTGGGTGTAAAGGGTTAATTTATATCCCGTTTTAAAAGCAACATTCCTTGTCAACAAAATTAATTCATTATATGCTTCGACGATGCAGGCAGTCGCGATAAACAAATCGCGGAAGTTGTTTAAAGCATGAAAAGGTACTGGAAAGGTTATCGAGCAGCGAGACTCACAAAAGATCTGTTGGAAAAAGACTCGGTTTGACTCATGATAGAATAAATTGCCAACTTACTGAAAGAGATCGTTATCTAGCATCTGTCTCTATATGAAGATCGACAGCTCAGGTTTATTGTATCCTTGGAAGCCTGCTCTCGGCACTGACTGATCAATGATGGGCAAAGCACGAAACACACCTTTGTGAAATGTCTTCACTAATCGACCATGAAATGCCGTTAAATCCTACTCAATTGTCGATTATGATGTAGAATTTTCTCTCAGTACGTTACGTAAAGCGTTACGTACTCTATCGCTTTGTGGGGATCCCCAATGTCACTTCAGCTCCTTGAGGATATTCACATTAGGGCAGTGAGGTTTATTTTTAATACGAAGGAATCCACTCTCGACACTGGTGTCATGACAGCGACGAAATAGGAATTAATAGCGTTCTCGTACAAGAAGAGAATGGCATGCATAACTTACCAAGCCTTTTAAAAGGTGCTTCAGGTGGTATTAATTCTCTCTTCACTCTGAAACACTCCTTGTTATGATATTATAGAGACGATCTTAAACTATACGTGCAGCCCCTAAAAGTGACCTACTGCGTTCTTCCTTCTCTAATCGCACGTCTATATTATGGAATAACTTAAGTGCATTCTTAAAGAGCAAACCCAACCTTACCAAAAATAAACCCAACATACATTTAGTCTTGCTTTCTTGGGACTATCTCCAGGCACTTTTTTTTTAAAATACGGTTTCGGAACTCTTTCTCACTCAAATAAAGAGACGGTATTAGCAAATACCGTGGCTATCCAGGTACCGAATTTTTTTTTTACTGACATAGAGACTCGGCACGTGGAATCGGTCAAAACCAATAAGTTGGGCCACCTGATATCACTTCCTCGAGACAATTCATCACATCCTACCGGATAATGGTATTGTTGAGCTTTCATTATAAGTTATAATTAGGCAATAAAAAAAAAATGATGATGAATGGGCGCATGGTTTTTGTTGATTTCTTTCGCAGCCAATCGCGTAAGATTTTCTTTTCTTTCTTTCTTTCTTTCTTTTTTTTTTTTTTTTCAGACTGGTTCTTTGTTGACAAGCTCGTCATCCAAGTTCATCAGTTGAAATATTTTCTACCTATTTAGCCACCTCTTTCATCTTATCTTAATTCTTTTTTTTGGATTCTCGTGTTTGAATAGTTTATACTTGTCGATATTGTCGTCTTAATACGGGAGTTTTACAATTATTTTTACTTTTCGAAGACTCTCTTCTTGTTTGTTTCTGCCTCAGTAGTTATTGTGCTGCTCATTCAGATTTTTGTTAAGTTTTGGTCAACTTTTTGTCAAACAAATTACTACCACGAATAAAGAATATCGACAAATTTACCTGTCATGGTAGATATGTGGCTTTGTGTAGTAATTTAATCCGCTAGAAAACAGGATGTCATACTGTAAAGCTCTCCTGTTGTATAGACTCTTTGCAAAAGTTATTTGTTCTTTGATTTCTTTAACGATTCAATCCACTTAAGTAATTGAAACTAAAAACTTGCTTTTTAACTGAGAAAATATACTTCTCTTTATTTTGGGGGAATTTTGGAATGTAAATTTCTCACTTAAATATTTACATTTTCCCTGGAAATTAATAGCTATCTGGGAGTTTCCTGCAGATGGAAGCACGGATAATTGCGACCGATAAATTAAAATAGAGGACAAGTGCCTTAAGGGGTTTTAAATAGTCTGAATAGGAACGGAAATGGATGGATGAATTGAAAAGTTCAGAATACTTAATTAAACGTTCAGACGGATAAACTGTCGATAACTATCATCATTATCACTTCTATTATAATCATCTCTATTACCATTGTTTTCCTTCTTATATTAAGTTAGATTCCTATTTCCCTCTAATTTTTGTCACTTATTTATATTCGC